TATATATATACGAATTAAATCGAAATATTTGGTATTGTTTTCGAATCAAATCGCATCAAATCGTGCCGAAAAATTTGAATCGTATAAAAACTCGATACCGTTCTGAATCGAACCAAAAAAATTGGTTTTGTTTCTGAATCGAATCATATCGAAAAACTCGGTGTCATTTCTGAATTGAATTATGCCGGAAAATTCGAACCGTATAAAAAAACTCGGTACCATTCCGAATCGAATCGTACCGAAAAACTGGATATCGTTTCCGAATCGAATCGTGTCGGAAAATTCGAATCGTATAAAAAACTCGGTACCGTTCCGAATCGAATCGTACCAAAAAACACGGTGTCGTTTCCGAATCGAATCGTATCAAAAAACTCGGTGTCGTTTTCGCATCGAATTGTGCCAAAAAATTCAAATCGTATAAAAAAAACTCGGTACTGTTCCGAATCGAATCGTACCGAAAATTCGCATCATACCGAAAAACTCGAACCATTTCTGAATCGAATCATATTGAAAAAATCGGTGTCGTTTTTGAGCCGACCCGTTCAAAAAATCTAAACGACAATATTTTGAAAACATCGAATCGAATTTAAAAAATAAAAAAATCTTATTTTTTTTAAAGAAATATATAATTTTGCTTATAAACTATCGAATATAATATAATATCTAGTTATATATATATTTTTATTGAATGGATAAACCAAATCGAATATTAAAATGATAATTTCTAGGCTATATGAATATACATATTAATAGTTATATGTATATAAGTAATTTGTGAATATAAAAATGGATTTATATGGTTTATACAGGTTTAATGGGTCGACCCAACTCATCCACTATTATTAACGGATCGATCCAACCCAACCCGTTTATCCTTCAAATCCAAATGGATTGGACCCAAATGGATTGGGCCAACTCAATTGACATCCCTACTCCGACAAACTCCTGTACTTACTTGCCGTTATGAAAGAAACCCTAAGGCTTCACCCGGTTGTTCCCCTCCTCATCCCTCGACGCCCGAGTGAAACCACCGTTGTGGCAGGCTACACCATCCCAAAGGACACAATGATGTTCTTCAACATGTGGGTGGTCCAAAGAGATCCGAATTTATGGGAGGATGCATCGGAGTTCAATCCTGAAAGATTTATTAACAAGTTCTACGACTTCAAGAGGGAAGTGATTCCAGCTATCTACCCTTTGGATTCGGCTGGAGAATATGCGCTGGCATAGCCATGGCCGAGAAGTTCGTTCTCTACAATCTCGCGACCTTGTTGCATTCATTTGACTGGAAGATTCCGGAAGGGAAACGATTCGTCATTGAAGAGAAGTTCCAGATGGGGATGAGGATGAAGAACCCACTTGTGGCTATCCCCATTCCGAGGTTGTCTAATCCTGATCTTTATCTATAAATTGAGAAAGAGCATGAATGATTCTCTTAAATAAAATGTCTTGATGTCTAATAACTCTCTAATATAATATCCAACAAAAAAAAACTCTATTATAATTCCAATATTTACTTTCTTGTTGTAATATGCATGTAATAAAACTGCTTGCTTAGTTTGAAACTCTTACATATGTTTTGTGATGTTTTATGAGAATTCAACGATGGATTAGAGGAAAATTTCTCCTTGTTGTGTTGCACAACGATTTAATCTGGTCAACTTCACCTTCTAATATTATACTACAAGATTTTTTTACGGTGTCTACGTTTAATAATATTGCACAGTAAAAATGGGCATTTATTGATTTTTCCCCCTCCTCTCTGTTCAGGGTGTCAATTTAAGCCCGACCCCCGAAGTCCGACCCGACCCGACCCAATCCGAAAATTAGCGGATTTCGAATCTAAGTTTCTCGCCTAAAAAAAAATTGGGTTCTCGGGTCGATCTCGAATCGGGTTTCGGGTTCGAGTCGGCTCGAAACCCGATATTTAAAAAAAAATTACAAAGGGAATTGTGAGGGTCAGCCCCGTCTGACCCGATCCGATCCAAGCTCGTAATATATTGGGCCGACCCTCGGACTTAATCACACAGGTCCGAAAAAAATCGGGACGGTCCGACTCCGAAACCTTCGACTCGAATGCGTGCTCGGGCCGGTTCGGGTCGGACTGGCCCGATTGACCCATATCTCTGTTAGGGTTAGGAAATTAACGAGATTTTTTGGGCACCTAAATTCGAATTCGAGAATCGAGTTTTAAATATTCGAAAATCGGGTACTCTTTCATTGAGTTCGGTGCGCCACCGGAGTTGCCTAGCTAGGGTTAGGGTTACTCGTCGTCCCTCGCCTCTCTCGGTCTTTGTTTGGATTATTTTGCGATGTCGGGTTTAGAGATAGATAACAGCGATTTTCGGACTTTTGTATTTCCTTAAATTGGATTTGTCAAACTCTTTATATAGAGATAGATAATAATGATTTCCAGAATTCTGTATTTCACTAAATCGGATTCGTTTTTATTTTTTATTTTTATTTTTTAGAACTGTATTTGATTTATTACAAAATTATCAATTTTTATCCTGTTTTATTTCTGTATTGTGCTAGTACTGTCTAAGAATAAAATTTCTTGTGATGTCTGACCGCTGTCATTATGTTGTCGTGCTAAATGTAATTATATTTTACCTCCTCGAGATGCATAACTCAACTTAATCTTATATTTTGGTTTATTACAGTCTAAAACAAGCACAAATGTCGATGTTCGGAATGCTTAACGCTCGTAATCAACTGACTAGTGATTAAATGGGATCCAAACAAGAGCAAGTAGAAGTTTGATAACGCGTTATAACACCAAAATCTAAATTGAATAAGAAATATATACTCATAAAAAAATTCCGAAATTTGAGTTTTTTTTTTGTTTCAGATAATGCAAACGTAAACCTATATTTTGAGCACAAAAACGCATATGTAACACCTTTAAATTATAGAAAATTTCCAAACCCTAAATTTGGACATTTTTTCTGTCATATGAGTTTCCGTCACCTTTTTATTGTGTCGGGCGTTCCGTATCAAATATGGGATTATTTTCAAAAGTTTAATGTATTTTTACGGAATTTCTGAATAAATTAGTGCATTAATGTACATTACAATTAAATGAAAAATTCAATTAATACATATTGGTTTATGATGTGATTAAATCGGAATTAATTAAAGGCGCATTTTCTTCGAGAGGAAGGAAGAAGTCAAGCTTTGGCGCCATTGAAAATGTGTAACCAATTGTCACCACAATTTAAAGGTTTCGGTCCACTTAATCTTCATTGGCCGAAGAATCGAATCAAAGATTTTGAAATGATTTTGTTACATTTCAACTTTCATGATTTTTTAGTGGGTTCTAAGACTATATTCCATGTTCGAATGGCGATTTCGTTTTATTATTTTTTATATAAATTGGATTTTTGGTTATCAATATTTTATTAAACTTCTTTAGAACGTGTTTTGCAAAATTTGTTTGATCTATTATTAAATTTTAAGATGTATAGTCTTAAAATTTTGGGAAAAAAACCTAAAAATTTCTGAACTTGTATTTTGGAGTAATATTAATTCCTAAACTTGTAGAGGTGCCTATTAATTCCCAAACTTACAAAATTGAACACGTTAAATCCTGAACTTGTTAAACGGTTCCATATTCGTCCATAGCGTTATTTGGTCAAAAAAACGAGTTGACCGATCCGACGTGGCTCGCCACGTCACACGCCAAGTCGGATCGGTCAACTCGTTTTTTTGACCAAATAACGTTATGGACGAATATGGAACCGTTTAACAAGTTTAGGATTTAACGTGTTCAATTTTGCAAGTTTGGGAATTAATAGGCACCTCTACAAGTTTAGGAATTAATATTACTCCAAAATACAAGTTCAGAAATTTTTAGGTTTTTTTCCCAAAATTTTAAGACTATACATCTTAAAATTTAATAATAGATCAAACAAATTTTGCAAAACACGTTCTAAAGAAGTTTAATAAAATATTGATAACCAAAAATCCAATTTATATAAAAAATAATAAAACGAAATCGCCATTCGAACATGGAATATAGTCTTAGAACCCACTAAAAAATCATGAAAGTTGAAATGTAACAAAATCATTTCAAAATCTTTGATTCGATTCTTCGGCCAATGAAGATTAAGTGGACCGAAACCTTTAAATTGTGGTGACAATTGGTTACACATTTTCAATGGCGCCAAAGCTTGACTTCTTCCTTCCTCTCGAAGAAAATGCGCCTTTAATTAATTCCGATTTAATCACATCATAAACCAATATGTATTAATTGAATTTTTCATTTAATTGTAATGTACATTAATGCACTAATTTATTCAGAAATTCCGTAAAAATACATTAAACTTTTGAAAATAATCCCATATTTGATACGGAACGCCCGACACAATAAAAAGGTGACGGAAACTCATATGACAGAAAAAATGTCCAAATTTAGGGTTTGGAAATTTTCTATAATTTAAAGGTGTTACATATGCGTTTTTGTGCTCAAAATATAGGTTTACGTTTGCATTATCTGAAACAAAAAAAAAACTCAAATTTCGGAATTTTTTTATGAGTATATATTTCTTATTCAATTTAGATTTTGGTGTTATAACGCGTTATCAAACTTCTACTTGCTCTTGTTTGGATCCCATTTAATCACTAGTCAGTTGATTACGAGCGTTAAGCATTCCGAACATCGACATTTGTGCTTGTTTTAGACTGTAATAAACCAAAATATAAGATTAAGTTGAGTTATGCATCTCGAGGAGGTGTCGGATCGGTCAACTCGTTTTTTTGACCAAATAACGCTATGGACGAATATGGAACCGTTTAACAAGTTCAGGATTTAACGTGTTCAATTTTGTAAGTTTGGGAATTAATAGGCACCTCTACAAGTTTAGGAATTAATATTATTCCAAAATACAAGTTTAGGAATTTTTAGGGTTTTTTCCCTAAAATTTTTCATGATTTTGCAAAATTTGGAAGCGTTATAATAGGCTTCGGAAAATACCACATAATTCATTCATTCATCTTTTGTCACACACATTTGAGTTGTGGCAGCAAAGCAAAAGCAAACAATCCATGGAGAATCTTTTCCCTATCCCATACGGCGTCGTGTTGGCTGTCGTCGCTCTGGTCTTCTCAGTTATATGGTACATCAAACTCAAACGGCCGGCGAGAAGTCCGTTGCCGCCGGGACCTCCAGGTCTTCCCGTCGTCGGAAACCTCCCGTTCCTCAAGCCGGACCTCCACGTATATTTTGAGACTCTCGCCCGAAAATACGGCCCGGTTTTCAAACTCCGGCTCGGGGCCAAACTCGTTGTCGTGGTCACATCTCCGGAGGTGGTGAGTGAGATACTGAAGACACATGACGTTGCATTCTCCAACCATGATGTCACCGCCACGACACTCATCGCCATGTACGGTGGTGCGGATATAGGATGGACTCCGTACGGACCGAAGTGGCGGATGCTGAGGAAAGTGTGCGTTAACAGGCTGCTGAGTAACAGCGTCTTGGATTCCTTCTATGGCCTCCGCCGCCGGGAGAGCCGACAGATAGTTAGGTACTTGGCTAGTCGGGCCCGGACCGGGTCGCCGGTAAAACTCGGAGAACAGATATTTTTGACGTTATTTAACGTCATAACGCAGATGTTGTGGGGTGCTACGGTTTCCGGTGAAGAGAGGGAGAAAACCGCAACCGAGTTCAAAGAGTTGGTGTCCGAGATCGTCGGTTTAATTGGTCGGCCAAATATTTCTGATTTTTTCCCCGGTTTAAGCCGGTTCGATCTGCAGGGTTTGGCTAGGCAGATGCGTGGAGTGTTCGAACAATTCGACCAGATGTTTGATCGGATAATTGATCAACGACTGAAAACTGATGGGCAAAGTAAGAGAGACGGCGAGGATTTCTTGCAGTTCTTGTTGAAATTGAAGAACGAAGACGGAACCACATCCTTGTCGATGACCCACGTGAAGGCCTTGCTCATGGTACGCCTCCGTTTTCATTTTACAGTTACTTATAAAACATTTGTTTTCTATCCATAAGAACTCAAACTAGGAGTTTTAATTCTTTCTGGTCCGAAATCTACAATCTCGTTCGGACCATATGAGAAATATCAAATTTTGAGTTTGAATTTATAGGTCCAAAAAAATGTTTGGTTTTTTTATCGGATTCAAATCGAGTTTCAAATCTATCCAAAAACATAATTTATTTTTCTTTTAAAAAATATCAATACATAAATATTTTATTAAACGGGTTGGGCTAACCTGAAGTCAAACCCGAACCCGAGTCTATATATAGAGCCGAGCTTCGAGTTTAATTCTATAAAACTGAAAAATTCGAGTTGACCCGATCCCGAATCCAAAACCCTCGAGTTGAGTGGGAGACCGGCCTGTTTAACACTCGGACTCAAGCTTTAATACCACATTGTTAAGTCTATATGTTTTTTTTTTTTGGGAAAGGACTTGGTGCTCGGCGGCACAGGGACATCCTCGAGCACGATAGAGTTTGCAATGGCCGAACTTATAACCAAACCAGAGATGATGAAAAGGGTTCAACAAGAACTAGACCAAGTTGTGGGTAAAGACAACATCGTAGAAGAATCTCATATCCCTAAACTTCCGTACTTACTTGCCGTTATTAAGGAAACCCTAAGGTTTCACCCGGCTAGTCCTCTCTCAGTCCCTCGGCAGCCGAGTGAAACCATCATTGTCGCAGGCTACACCATTCCAAAAGGCTCAACGGTATTCTTTAACACCTGGGGGATCCAAAGAGATCCGAGTTTATGGGAGAAACCTTTGGAATTCAGTCCCGAAAGATTTCTTAATAAGTTATACGACTTCAACGGAAACGATACTGGTTATCTTCCGTTCGGGTTTGGCCGGAGAATATGTGCCGGGATACCCATGGCCGAAACGATGATTTCATACAATCTCGCCATGCTTTTGCATTCGTTTGATTGGAAGATTCCAGAAGGAAAACGATTCGAGATTGAAGAGGAGTTTGGGTTGGTGTTGAAACTGAAAAATCCACTGGTAGCCATACCCATACCAAGGTTGCCGAATCCGAATCTTTATCTTTAAATGTGAAATATATTAAAGACTACGATGCTTGATATAGACGTTATCTTGATATCGAATAACTATTTGCCTGCGCTGTTACGTGAATATTCACTCTCCTGTTGAAATATATATGTAATAAAACTGTGTCGTTTTGAATAAGATAAGAAGATGATACACTTCAAAGTTGGAGTGTATATGTTTTTATACAACTCTAACACACTGAATCATTGCATGCCGAAATCAAATCGGCCTTATATATAGTATAATATTTTTGGTATCTCTAATGGATTATGTGTATTTTTTTTTTATCATAATGTCAAATATTATATATCCACGGACCCGACTTTGATTTTTTTCTTTTCTTCCAAAATTCGATATCCATTAAGACCAAAGATATACAATACTACGATATTCTTGCTTTTTTTATATTTATTTTCAGTTTCCATTTTGTTCATCAAAATATAGTGTGTTTAAATCGGAATGGGAAGGCAAGTCTTCTTCGAGAAAGGAAGAAGTCAGGCTTTTTGTGACTTCAAAATTTTGTTTCAAAACGTTATCACAATTTTAAGTGACAGAAATATTGAAAACAACAAAAGGGAAATATTGTGTATATATATATATTCATATACTTTATATATACAAATATATAAAACTTTGGTCTGGATTATTCATGATAAGTTTAGTTTTGATTACTCATGACAAACTTAGTTGAGGGAGGATAGATAACAGTGATTTTCGGACCTTTTTTTTTATTTCAATAAATTTGATTTTGTTTTAAAACTATTTCTAGAATTGTATTTGATTTATTACAAAATTTTCAATTTCACGTTTTTTTTTTATTTCTATAATGTCTAATTAAGGAGAAAACTTGTTGTAAATTGCTTTTGACTTTTGGTGTCCATATTAAAACGGGACAATTACATTCATGTCGTTGAGATAAACGTGTCGGTGAATTGACTCTCCAACTTGTCTTTATATAATATAAATGTGAAGTGCTTCTAACAACTTGACATACATAATTTAACTTCATCTTACATTATGGTTACATCTTAAATCCTTAGTTCAACCAAGATAATTATTTCATCTTCGTAATTTGCTTGAACTGATATTTAAACGAGATTTAGACCAAAGTTTAATTTGCATATGAATCGAAAATTTATGTAAACCGAATGTTATAAATCAAGAGGTTTTGCGCCGCTCTGTTTTCAAATTTCCTTTGTATAAAATTATATGTATTTTTTGTGTGTTGCTCGTTTGGTGGTACAAATGTGTCAGTTATCCGGTTCAGATGATCAAATATGAAAACTATTTTAAAGTTTTTACGGGTTTATATGGCATTTCGGAATAAATTTTTGTATTTTAATCGGTAGCTTAGCTAAAGTTTATCTATATCTTTGAGATTTTTATTGATATATATTTGTTTTATTATGCTTTTAAATCGGAATTACAAGGCACGTTTTCTTCAAGGATTTCAAAAATTTGTTACCAATTGTTGTCACACACTAAAATGACTGAAAATGAAGATGCCAAAAGAGGAACTATTGCATAGTATTTCACTATTTGTAGCGTATGAAAACGACCATATTATATGTTGGATCCACGCATTTGCTGCGACAGTATATTAATTCTGTTCTCCGCCCCTCTCAAGTGCAGCAAAACCATGGAGAACGCCTTCCAGATCCCATACGGCGGCATTTCGATTGTCATCGTTCTTGTCTCAATTATATGGTACATCAAACTCAGACGGCCGGCGAGAAGTCCGCCGTTGCCGCCGGGACCTCCAGGTCTCCCGATCGTGGGAAATATCCCGTTCCTCAAACCGGACCTCCACGTATACTTTGCGGGTCTCGCCCGAAAATACGGCCCTGTTTTCAAACTCCGGCTCGGGGCCAAACTCGCCGTCGTGGTCACATCTCCAGAGGTGGTGAGTGAGATACTGAAGACACATGACGTTGCATTCTCCAACCATGATGTCACCACCACGACACTCATCGCCATGTATGGTGGTGCGGATATAGGATGGAGCCCGTACGGACCGGAGTGGCGGATGCTGAGGAAAGTGTGCGTTAACAGGCTGCTGAGTAACAGTGTCTTGGATTCCTTCTATGGCCTCCGGCGCCGGGAGAGCCGACAGACAGTTAGGTACTTGGCTAGTCGGGCCCGGACCGGGTCGCCGGTAAAACTCGGAGAACAGATATTTTTGACGTTATTTAACATCATAACACAGATGTTGTGGGGTGCTACGGTAGCCGGTGAAGAGAGGAAGAAAACCGCAACCGAGTTCAAAGAGTTGGTGTCCCAGATCGTCGGTTTAATCGGTCGGCCAAATATTTCTGATTTTTTTCCCGGTTTAAGCCGGTTTGATCTGCAGGGTTTGGCCAAGCAGATGCGTGGACTGTTCGAACAATTCGACCAGATGTTTGATCGGATAATCGATCAACGTCTGAAAACTGATGGGCAAAGTAAGAGAGACGGCGAGGATTTCTTGCAGTTTATGTTGAAGTTCAAGGACGAAGAGGAAACCTCAACCTTGTCGATGACCCACGTGAAGGCCTTGCTCATGGTACGACTCCGTTTTCATTTTGCAGTTACTTACGAGACATTTGTTTTCTATTCATAAAAACTCAAACTTGGAGTGCCAACTTTGGTCCGAAATCTAAAATCTCGTTCGAACCCATATGAGAAATATCTAATTTCGAGTTTAAATTTGTAGGTCCGAAAAAATTTCGGATTTCTGGGTCGAATTCAAATCGAGTTTTGAATCTATCCAAAAACATATTTTTTTTAAAAAATATCAATACATAAATATTTTATTAAACGGGTGAGGCTCGCCTGAGGTCAAGCCCGAACCCGAGTCTATATATAGAGTCGAGTTTCATGCTTAATTCTATAGATCCGGAAAATTCGAGTTTGCCCGATCCCGAATTCAAAACCCACGAGTTGAGTGGGAGACCAGCCCGTTTAACACCCGGACTCAAGCTTTAATACGACCTTGTTAAGTCTATATGTTTTTCTTTTTTGGAAAGGACTTGGTGCTCGGCGGTACGGGGACATCCTCGAGCACGATAGAGTTTGCAATGGCCGAACTTATAACCAAACCAGAGATGATGAAAAGGGTTCAACAAGAACTAGACCAAGTTGTGGGTAAAGACAACATCGTAGAAGAATCTCAGATCCCTAAACTTCCGTACTTACTTGCCGTTATTAAAGAAACCCTAAGGCTTCACCCGGCCGCTCCTCTCTCAGTCCCTCGGCAGCCGAGTGAAACCACCATTGTCGCAGGCTACACCATTCCAAAAGACTCAAAGGTATTCTTTAACACGTGGGCAATCCAAAGAGATCTGAGTTTATGGGAGAAACCTTTGGAATTCAATCCCGAAAGATTTCTTGATAAGTTATACGACTTCAACGGAAACGATACTAGTTATCTTCCGTTCGGGTTTGGCCGGAGAATATGTCCCGGGATACCCATGGCCGAGAGGATGATTTCGTACAATCTCGCCACGCTTTTGCATTCGTTTGATTGGAAGATTCCGGAAGGAAAACGATTCGAGATTGAAGAGGAGTTTCAGTTGGCGTTGAAACTGAAGAATCCACTCGTGGCCATACCCATACCAAGGTTGCCGAATCCGAATCTTTATCTTTAAATGTGAAATATATTAAAGACTACGATGCTTGATATAGACGTTATCTTGATATAGAATAACTATTTGCCTGCGCTGTTACGTGAATATTCACTCTCTTGTTGAAATATGTATGTACTAAAACTGTGTCGTTTTGAATAAGATAAGAAGATGATACACACTGAATCATATCAAGCCAAAATCAAATCGGACTTATAGTATAATATTTTTGGTATCTAATTGATTATATGTGTATTTTTTTATATCATAATGTCAAATATTATCCACGGACCCGATTTTGATTTTTTTTCTTCCAAAAGTCGATATCCATAAATACCAAATATATACAATACTACGATTATTTTCAGTTTCCATTTTGTTAATCAAAATATATTGTGTTTAAATTGGAATAAGAAGGCAAAAGTTCTCTTCGAGGAAGGAAGAAAAACTTTTTGTGACTTTAAAATTTTGTTACAAAATGTTATATATCACAGTTTCAAATGACTGAAATATTGAAACAACAAAAGAGGGAACTATTGCATAATATTATATTCGCTATATTTACTAAAGGAAATGGACCGCGTCCATGTGGATTCTCATAGCCTAATCTGCATGCATTATATATTCGTATACTTTATATGTACAGTAAATAAAACTTTGGTCTGGATTATTCATGGTAAGTTTAGTTTGGATTATTCATGACAAACTTAGTTGATATAGAGACACCAGTGACTTTCGAACTTCTTCATTTCAATAAATTTGATTTATTTTTAAAATTGTATTTGAAAATGCATTTGATTTATTACAAAACTTTCAATTTCACGTTTTTTTTATTTCTATAATGTTTTAGTAATATCTAAGGAGAAAACTTCTCGTAAAGTCCGACGGATTTTTTTTTGGGATTCTGGTGACGAGTATCGAAATTTTAATTCGAACTTCAACTGAGTTTATCCGTGAATTTCTTAGTTTAACAAAGATTATGAATTATTTTCATTGTAATGTAATAAGAATAAGATATGTAGTAGGGGGAAACCCTAGGTGAGTTGGCAGGAGCACGTCCCACATACTGAGAGGTTGGGGGTTCGACTCCAGCCGCTCACCTGTCGCCTGTCAGTTACGGCTGATTTACCTCCTACACGTGTGTTGCAAGCTCGTGCGTGTGGGCTTGGGTTTTACTCGTACTCCGCGGACCCGAAGGGCCACCGCTGTGACCCCTTGGTCAGCGAGCCAACGACTGCGCCAAAGGCTGCGTCACAGGCCACCGTTGTGACCGGGGGTTAGCGAGCCCGAAGGGATACGCTGGTGGTTGAGGTTCCCAATGTACTAAAAAAAAGAAGAGATGCAGTAAGAAAAGTGTTTTTGTTTTTTTCTCTTTTGTTTTTTCTATATAATTTAATTTCCACATTTTATTTTTAAATATAGTATCAGAGTCTGGTTGAGAGTCTGGTTGCGATCTGAACTATATATTTTTTTCTAATCTCTTTTTTTAGCGTTTTGGATGTTCATATTCATATATCCAAATCGTTTAAAGGAAAAAAACTAAATTCAAACGATGTGTTAGGACAAAAAGAAGTGAAAACTAAAAATTCTAAGATCAAGCAAGATGCTATAAAAAAAATAATTGAAACTACAACTTTAAAGACAAGCGAAATGATTTGAAAAAGGTTAATATTCTCTAAATGAATGAAATTTGGTGTCTATGTATCGTTCTAATAACAGTGAAGTTTTTCACCATTTTATTTTATTTTCAAGATTGATTTTTGAATTTTTTTCAAAATCAATTTTGAGGGTAATGTTGAAATAGAAACAAAATATAGAGATTTGATATGATTGATAATAATTAAAGATATAATATCAATTAATAATAAAATAAATATCATGTCAATTATATTTTGTCTTATTTGTTTTTATCGTATCTTTATTTTCTTATTTTTTTAATAACTTTTCCTATAAATATATGGATTATTTTAATTGTAATATAATAAGAAGAATAGATGTAGTAATAAAAGTGTTTTCGTTCTTTTCTCTTTTATTCTTTTTTTTTATAATTTAATTTTCACATTTTATTTTTTAATAAATAAAACTTTGGTCTGGATTATTCATGATAAGTTTAGTTTGGATTATTCATGACAAACTTAGTTGATATACATACATCAGTAATTTTCGGACTTCTTCATTTCAATAAATTTGATTTATTCTTAGAATTGTATTTGAAAATGTATTTGATTTATTACAAAACTTTCAATTTCACGTTTTTTTTTATTTCTATAATGTTTTAGTAATGTCTAAGGAGAAAACTTCTTGTAAAGTCCGAAGGATTTTTTTTTTCTTTTTGGGATTCTGGTGGCGAGTATCGAAATTTTGATCCGAACTTCAATTGAGTTTATCCGTGAATTTCTTAGTTTAACCAATATATTTTTTTTTCATCTTCGTAATTTTTTTAAACTGATTTTTAAACGAGATTTAGACCAAAATTTAATCTACATGTGAATCGAAAATTTATGTAGACCGAATGTTATAAATCGAGAGATTTTGCACCGCTCTTGTTTTTTTGTGTGTTGCTCATTTGGTGGTAGCAAGATAAATGTCAGTTTCCTTATCTGCTACAAAAATGTCAGTCATACGGTTCAGATCAAATATGAAAATATTTTAAAGTTTTTACGGGTTTATATGGTGTTTTAATTGGTAGTTTAACTATAGTTTATCTATATATTTGATTTTTTTTTCTTGATATATATTTGTTTTATTATGCCTTTAAATCGTAATTAAGACTAAAAGGCACGTTTCTTCGAGGAAGTAAGAAGAAGTCAAGCTTGGTGCCTTTCAAAATTTGTTACCAATTTTGTCACACTTAAATGACTGAAAAATGAAAACGACAATAGAGGAACTATTGCATAGTATTTCACTATTTGTACTATATGAAAACAACCACGTCTTGATATTAGAATCGATCTATATTTTTTTAACCCAACTCAGAAAATTTGACTATGAAAAAAAAAGCAAAGTGAACGAGCCAATCCATCACGATTCATGAGCCGACTTCGTAGTGAACCAATTCGACGAGTCCACGACTGGCTCGTTGACAATTGTTTTTTACTTTTTAGTATTTTTTTTATATTTCAATTTTCTAATAGTTATTCGATGTGTTTTGTTTAAATTTTAAAATTTTAAATTTTTTTTATAATATTTATAATATATTTTTAAATATTTTTTAGTATTTAAATTATGTTTTTTAGTTAGATATTTGACTCGTTCATTTGGCTCGTGATCTAAGATCTGATCTGATAGAAACTCCGAAAAATCTTTGATCGGGACGTGTTGGATAGACCGGGCCGGCCAAGACGGTTTTACACCCTAGGCTCAGTTTTTATAGCCTTACAATATTTATTTTGACATTTCAAGTTTCCAAATCTATATTGCATATTCGATTGATTCAAATTTGATATTTCAAGTATTTCAATATTTATATTTATATTCCTATTTTCATAGACGAAGTCTATATTCATAAGTTTGATTTGGATTATTTTGGAATATTGAATTTAGAATGACATAACAAATTAATGTTATATCCTCCTAAAAGCTTCTCATAAATATCCTACTAATCATCTTATTGAACCGCTTGATAATTTTTTAAATCCTCTTTTTTTCTTCCTCTCCTCCTCCTTTTACATATCCTAATTTATTTCTGATGGGAAAAACTAAACATCATATCCTAAATCCTAAACAAATTAGGATTTTAAGTTTTAGGATTGGACTGAAGTTTATAATTTAAAATTTATGATTTAGATGTTAGGGTTTACGGTAATTAGGATTAATAAAACAAAAAGGAAAAAGAGATTTAAGAAAAATGTGGAATGCCCCAATAAAATTGTTAGAATGATGTCTTAGACCAAGTTCTTTAAATTGTATTCGTTAAACTATTTTCAGAGTATTTGTTTGTATATATATATTATAAATTTTCAATTTTGTATTGTTATATTCGTAAACACCATAAAATTAAGGGGGCTTTTTTACCCAAAAAAAAAAAAAAAAAACACTAAGTGGCTTCCACACATCTTTTGTTGTGACAGTATATTAATTCTGTTATCTGCCCCTCTCAAGTGTTGCAAACATGGAGAATCTCTTCCAGATCCCATACGACATCGTTTTGATTGTCGTCGCTCTTGTCTTCTCAATTATATGGTACATCAAACCCAAACGGCCGGCGAGAAGTCCGCCGTTGCCGCCGGGACCTCTCGGTCTGCCGATCGTCGGAAATCTCCCGTTCCTCAAACCGGATCTCCACATATACTTTGAGGGTCTTGCCCGAAAACACGGCCCGGTTTTCAAACTCCGGCTCGGAGCCAAATTCGTGGTCGTGGTCACATCCCCGGAGGTGATGAGTGAGATTATGAAGACCCATGACGTTGCTTTCGCGAACCATGATGTCACCGCCACGGGACTCATCGCCACATACGGTGGTGCGGATATAGGATGGAACCCATACGGACCAGAGTGGCGCATGCTGAGGAAAGTGTGCGTGAACAAGTTGCTGAGTAACGCCGTGTTGGATTCCTACTATGGCCTCCGCCGTCGGGAGAGCCGACAGACAATCAGGTACTTGGCTGGTCGGGCTCGGACCGGGTCGTCGGTAGACCTCGGAGAGCAGATATTCGTGATGTTGTTTAACGTCATAACACAGATGTTATGGGGTGCTACGATTGCCAGCGAGGAGAGAGAGAAAATTGTAACCGAGTTCAAAGAGTTGACGTCCAGGATCGTCCATCTGATAGGTCGGCCGAATATTTCGGATTATTTTCCCATTTTAAGCCGATTTGATCTGCAAGGTTTGGCTAAACAGATGCATGGACTGTTCCTACAACTTGACCAACTCTTTGATCGGATAATCGATCAACGACGGGGAGTTAAGAACGGCAGCGAGGATTTCTTGCAATTCTTGTTGAAGTTGAAGGATGAAGATGAAACCACACCTTTGTCCATCACCCATGTGAAGGCCTTGCTCATGGTACGTACGTCTCCACGTCCGTTCTGCCATTTCTAATATAATAACCCAAGTTAATATGACGTTGCTAAATCTATAAGGTTTTTATGGAAATCAGGACATGGTGCTCGGCGGTTCGGAGACATCCTCGAGCACGATGGAGTTTGCAATGGCCGAACTTATAACCAAACCTGAGTTGATGAAAAGGGTTCAACGAGAACTAGACGGAGTTGTGGGTAAAGACAACATCGTAGAAGAATCTCACATCGCCAAACTTCCTTACTTACTTGCCGTCATGAAAGAAACCCTGAGGCTCCACCCGGTCGGTCCACTCCTAATCCCTCGACGGCCGAGTGAAACCTCCATCGTCGCCGGCTACACCATCCCGAAAGATTCAACGGTATTTTTCAACATGTGGGCAATCCAAAGAGATCCAAGTTTGTGGGAGAATCCATTGGAATTCGATCCTGATAGATTTCTTAGTAAGTTCTACGACTTCAGGGGAAGTGATACGAGTTATCTACCGTTCGGGTTTGGCCGAAGAACATGTGCTGGGATAGCCGTGGCAGAGAAGATGATATTGTACAATCTTGCAACGCTTTTGCATACATTTGATTGGAAGGTTCCAGAAGGAAAACGAGTGGAGGTTGAAGAGCAGTATGGGATGGCGTTGAGGTTGAAGAATCCAATTGTGGCCATACCCATACCAAGATTGTCGAATCCAGATCTTTATCTATAAATGTGAAATATATAAAAGTGTGCGATTCTCTAAATAAAATTATCTTCGTCTCTCTAATACTTATTTTCTTTTACTATGAGGTGAATTTTCACTTTGATGTCGAAATATATATGTAATAAACATGTTCGGTTGTCAATATTTTATTAAATAAGATTTGTTAAACTTCTTTAGAACGTGTGTTTGTAAAATTTGTTTGATCTATTATTAAATTTTAAGATGTATATTGTTTCGTTTTTTGTCATGATTTATTGATGTTTCCGGAAATTATCAAAATCGATTTTGGAAGCGTTATAATAGGCTTCGGAAAATACCACATACTTTATCCGTTCATCTTTTGTCACACACATTTGTGCTGTGGCAGCATCGCAGAAGAATCTCACACCACCAAACTCTCGTACTTACTTGCTGTTATGAAAGAAATCCTAAGGCTCCAACCGGTTGCTCCTCTCCTAATCCCTCGACGTCCGAGTGGAACCGCCATTGTTACTAATATTTGTCTCCATCGTTCACACAAGTGCTCCACACAATCAAGGTGTTCTGATATCATTTGTTGGACGTTTTTATGTTATTTCGATCGTTTGTCACGAATCAATAACTCAAACTCCTTATTTGTGTAAACCTGTTGTTCGAAGGTGGCGACCTTCAGCTGGAGACTCTGGCTCATTTAAAGGCTTCCAGTTTGAATAAAACCGGGTCGAGAAGAATTGGGAATTGGGGTTAAACCGGGACGGGTTTTTTAATCTATTTTCTAAACGGTGCGTTTCGGTTTTCTTCTCCAAGTTTCAAGTCGTTATATAACAGAGGTTTGTTCTGTTATTAATGGCGTTGAGTTTTTTTTTTTTTTCTTGATCAGAGAGATTCTGGGTGAGGGTTAGGTTTTGTAATCTTCGATCATCTCTCAAAGTTGTAACCAAAACGAGCCTAGTGGATTGTCGAGAACCTCCTCGGCCGAGACGTAGGATCCATTCACCGATCCGAACTCGTAAAATTGTGCGTGTCTTCTGTTCGTTTTTGTTCTTGAGCGTTTCGACGAAATCAGACGGAGTCGTGGGTTGACGCGAGTACAAGTGGTATCAGAGCCCGGTTCGTGGCTCAGGGAGATTCACAAGGAAAGCAGTGAATCAAAGTTGTATCAGTAGGTTCAGCTACAGATTGAAGAATCTGGTGATTTCGGTAAGAATCAGTATCTTGGAGGGATATCCGAAAGAGTGATTTCAGCTTGTGGAAAATTAAGATCCTAGCAAGTTTGGAAATACTGAAGTTGAATGATGTTCTGGAAGAAAAGTATCTCATCCAAGATCAGGCGCATGATAAGGCGTCCAAGCAATTAGAGGTCAAATCGCAAGGTTCTGAAGAGAAAATTGTGGTTGATCTTGCTACTCGGAAAGAAAAGAGTAGAAAGGTACGCAATCTGATTTTGTTATGTTTAACAGATCAGGTGATGCGTAAGGTTCAGAATGAACAGACAGCGGCGGAGATCTGGAAGGCCCTTGAACGAGAATTTCTCCAAAAGTCCGTCCCGAATCGATTCTACCTTAAACAAAAACTGTGCACGTTTAAGGTTGATGAGAGTAAGACAATGGATGAAAATATCGACAACCTTAGAAGACTGGTAATCGACCTGAACAATCTTCAGGTTGAAGTTTCGGAAGAAGATCAGGTGATGTACCTGTTAAATGGATTACCTGATCGCTATGAATCCTTACGCGATACACTTAAGTACTCACATCGAGAGAATATCAGTCTTGAGGAAGTTACATCAGCAATCTACTCTAAAGAACTTGAGTTCAAATCAAAAGGGAAACCAGGGACAGCAAAAGGATTGCTGGTAAAAGGAAGGCCTGACAAGAAACCTCAAAAGAAGCCGAAATCGTCAAAGGGCAAGCCTAAGGAAAAGTCAGAATCAGGGTGTTGGTTTTGCGGGAAAGAGGGACACAAGAAGAAAGACTGTCGAATAAGGAAGAGGTACCATGAAGAACATACAAAGAATTCAGGGGAAGTTGCAGCAATATCTGGAAATGAAATCGACTCCGAAGTTCTGGCAGTAACCGATGTTCACCCAACAGAGCAATGGATACTAGATTCAGGGTGTACATTCCATATGTCACCACAAAAGAGCTGGTTCATAAACATGGAAGAATCAGATCTTGGGAAAGTAATGATGGGAAACAACGGGACATGCCAGATCAGAGGGATTGGAGACATAAAACTTCAATTATCAAATGGAGCAGTCAGAATCCTCAGCAAAGTACGGTACATTCCAGACCTGAAGAGAAATCTAATATCATTGGGATCTCTCGATAAACAAGGCTGCAGTTTCAAATCTGAAGATGGAAAACTGGAAGTGATCAGGAACTCTAAATTGATCATGTCAGGAAAACTAGAAAACGGATTGTATGTTCTGAATGGTACAACAATAATAGCAGAGGCGCAAGTGACAGAAGCTGAAGATGAATCCATGATCTGGCATCAGCGTCTAGGACATATGAGCAACCAAGGACTTCAGATTCTGGCAAAGAAAGGGATACTGAACAAAGAAAAGATTCAGACATTGATTTCTGCGAGGATTGCATTCTCGGGAAAACAACCAGAACAAGTTTCAAGAAAGGGAAACACACCTCACAAAGTGTGCTAGAGTACGTTCATTCGGATCTGTGGGGCTCGCCAACAATTCAACCATCGTTAGGTGGAGCTCAGTACTTTGTGTCATTCATCGACGATTATTCCAGGAGGGTATGGATATACCCACTAAAAACAAAAGATGAAGCTTTCTCAAGATTCCAGGAATGGAAGAAACTGGTTGAGACTCAAACTGAAAAGAAGGTGAAGCATTTGCGAACCGACAATGGACTGGAGTTCTGCAACCAAAAGTTTGAACAATTTTGCAGGGAAAATGGGATAATCAGACATCGAACGTGCACATATACACCACAACAGAATGGTATTGCGGAAAGAATGAACAGAACTATTATGAACAAGGTCCGGAGCATGCTAAGTGAGTCAGGGCTCGGGCAAGATTTCTGGGCAGAAGCCGCATCAACAGCCACTCCCTCGAGTTCAAAGCACCAGAGGAAGTCTGGTACAATCGTCCGGTATCATTAGAAAACCTGAGAAGATTTGGATGTATAGCATACATACATTCGAGTCAAGGTAAGCTCCTACCAAGAGCGAAAAAGGCAGTCTTTATAGGGTATCCCCAAGGGGTTAAAGGCTACAGGGTTTGGGTCTTGGAGGAGAAGAAAGTAATGATAAGCCGAGACATAAAGTTCAGAGAAGAAATGGTGTTCAAAGATTTGGAAATACCAGAAGATAAAAGAGGGAATTCTACAAAGGAAAAGAAACAAGTAAGCTTTGGTTTGGAGAACAGATCACAAGCAGCTAATGAAAACCACCAACAGGACCAAAATCCAGCTTAAGGTGGAGAAGTTTCAGATGAAGAAGACTACCAGCAAAGAGAGCAATCAGAAACAGGACAACTGCTCGACCCAGAATCAGAAACAGAAACCCAAGAAGAGACAGACCAGCAAGGAGACCTGCAGGGGTACATACTAGCCCGTGATAGAGAGAGACGAGTTATTCAACCTCCTCTAAAGTACAGACAAGAAGACTCAGCAGCCTTCGTGTTAACAGTGGCAAAGGAGTTAGAACTTGAGGAGCCAAAGAACTACCAGCAAGCCTTGAAGTCAAAGGAAAAACAGAATTGGCTCCAAGCAATGAAGGAAGAAATGCGATCCCTTCAAGAAAACAGAACATGGATTCTAGTGCACAGACCTAAGGATCAGAGAGTCATAGGATGTAAATGGGTGTTCAAGTATAAGCCAGGCATTCCTCAGATCAGGTGATGCGTAAGGTTCAGAATGAACAGACAGCGGCGGAGATCTGGAAGGCCCTTGAACGAGAATTTCTCCAAAAGTCCGTCCCGAATCGATTCTACCTTAAACAAAAACTGTGCACGTTTAAGGTTGAATTCCTGAAGTAGAGGCACCGAGGTTCAAAGCCAGACTAGTGGCAAAAGGGTATTCTCAAGTGGAAGGAATAGACTATCACGAAGTATACTCTCCAGTTGTGAAGCATGTCTCAATCAGACTTCTATTGGCCCTGACAGCTTACAAGAATCTCGAAGTGGAACAACTTGATGTTAAAACAGCGTTTCTCCATGGAGACCTTGAAGAACACATCCTCATGGAGCAACCCGAAGGTTTTAACAATCAAGGAAAGTATGATAAGGTCTGTCTACTAAAGAAGTCGCTATACGGGCTAAAACAATCTCCTCGGCAATGGAACTTGAAGTTTGACACGTTCATGATCAGCCAGAACTTCCAAAGAAGTAAATTTGATCAATGTGTCTACTACAAACGGCTGGAGCAGAATTCCTACATATATCTCCTGATATATGTTGATGACATGTTACTCATTGCAGAAAGTTTAACAGAGATTCAGAAAATCAAGGATCAGTTGAGTAACAGGTTCGAAATGAAAGACTTGGGAAATGCTAGGCGGATTCTGGGGATAGATATCAACCGAGACAGGAAGAGAGGAATACTGACACTCTCACAACAGGGGTATCTTCAGAAAGTTCTGGCTACATTCAACATGACAGATTCGAAACCAGTACAGACCGCTTTGGGATCGCACTTCAAACTGAAAGGAGTAGAGTCACAGGAAGAATTATTGGATTTGGACAGATACCCATACCTGAATGCGGTGGGAAGTCTCATGTATGGGATGATAGGAACGCGCCCTGATCTGGCTTATAGTGTTGGTATGGTCAGTCGGTTTATGAGTAAACCAGGGAAGGATCATTGGTCAGCTATAAAATGGATTATGAGGTACGTTAAAGGAAACCTCGGACTCAGACTCAAGTATACACAGGAAAAAGACTTCTGGATTGAAGGATACTGTGACTCGGACTATGCATCAGATCTCGATAGAAGAAGATCGATAACCGGCTACATTTTTACAGTTGGAGGGAATGTGGTCAGTTGGCGATCAGGGTTACAGCATGTAGTAGCGCTCTCCACAATTGAGGCAGAGTACATGGCGCTCGCAGAAGCGTTTAAGGAGGGACTCTGGTTAAAAGGACTACTAAACGAACTCGGAATCAAACAAGATACGGTGTTCATTCACTGCGATTCGCAGAGTGCCATATGCCTTGCTAAAAACAACGTTCATCATGAACGAACTAAACATATAGACGTACGCTTACATTTTCTTCGAGATGTGGTTGCAGAAAACAGGGTAATGGTGAAGAAGATCAAGTCAGAAGTCAATCCGGCGGACATTCTCACCAAGTCACTACCAGTGGGCAAATTCAGGGACGCCCTGAACTTGCTCAAAATCACTGATGAATAATTAGTGAATGTCGAGGAGGAACGATGAAGCATTCCACAGGTTTCCAGCTGTAGGCGCCAAGTGGAGCTTGTTCGAAGGTGGCGACCTTCAGCTGGAGACTCTGGCTCATTTAAAGGCTTCCGGTTTGAATAAAACCGGGTCGAGAAGAATTAGGAATTGGGGTTAAACCGGGACGGGTTTTTTAATCTATTTTCTAAACGGTGCGTTTCGATTTTCTTCTCCAAGTTTCAAGTCGTTATATAACAGAGGTTTGTTCTGTTATTAATGGCGTTGAGTTTTTTTTTTTCTTCTTGATCAGAGAGATTCTGGGTGAGGGTTAGGTTTTGTAATCTTCGATCATCTCTCAAAGTTGTAACCAAAACGAGCCTAGTGGATTGTCGAGAACCTCCTCGGCCGAGACGTAGGATCCATTCACCGATCCGAACTCGTAAAATTGTGCGTGTCTTCTGTTCGTTTTTGTTCTTGAGCGATTCGACGAAATCAGACGGAGTCGTGGGTTGACGCGAGTACACCTGCGAATATGACAATGTCTAGTGCAACGGTACCGAAATCAAAAGAGAACGATTTTTAACGTGAAAAATCTCTGTCCGAGTGTAGAAACTCTCCTCGCAATTTTAGATGTATGTTGATCGAATCTCTTCCCAAATACCCACACTATTTTTTTTCGCTTTCCTTTTTTTTTTTTCTCTCTCTCAATCTCTTCTGCTCTCGCTGCTCGAAGTTGTGTCGTGTGCGCTTCTCCCCCCGCTCTGCCGATACCTCGTTTTATAGGCAAAGTGTTGCCTAACAGAAACAAAAATGGTGGGCCCACGGAGGAAATTTTCCACAACCCGCCGCCTTGGTCCTTTGTCTGCATCAGGCGGAAAACAACAAATCATTCAATACCCCGTAGAAATGTCGTTTCATCCTTACCTGATCTAAAATCTTGAATACACAGATTTGATAAACAATAAAACCTTAACAATTCGGATTCATCTTACCGATAATCTTTACATGAAACAAAAAATTTGCATATACACAAAGCCCATATATATTTTTTTCATTTTCTCCCAAATTTTCACACTTTTTTGCTATTTTGCATCTAATAAAAATATATTAATACACCAAATGTTCAAATTTCTGACTTATTCAAACTTAGTCATTAGTTTTAAAATTTATAAGTATGACTTCATTAAAATTATTGCACATATCTACATAAATAAATGTAAAGGTTGAACCGACGACCCTGGATCTGTATATATATGTGGCTCCTGAATCTTTCATGTTGTCCACCTCACTCCTCTCTCTCTCTCTGATACGTTGGGTCGTGAACATGGAGGCTGAAGCAGGTTCCGATCACGGAAGAGTTCGTCCTTTCGTAACGCTGCCACCTTCTGAATGGGATGAACACTTCCTCGCTGTTTCCTTGGATGCCTCGGTGGGTATATATATATATATATATATATATATGGCTGTGTATGTGCATAGTTACTCTATTCTTACTCCATGCATATATATATATACATACACACATACGTTATCTATGAGGACTGTAAGAATGATGTTAAGTATATTGTCTTTTTTTTTTAAAAAAAAAATTATCATTTTAGGAAATGGGTGTACTTGAAAAAGAGATGGAGGCATTGAAGCCCAAAGTGAGGGACATGCTTATGTCTTCTCCAAGTGACACTAAGAGCAAACTATGTTTTATCCATTTGCTGGTCAGTCTTGGCATCTCATTTCATTTCGAAAACGAGATCGAAGAGACACTCAAACATGCTTTCGACACCATAGAAGATAAAATCACCGACAAAGACGATCTATACACTGTTTCCGCCATGTTCCTGGTTTTCAGATCTTACCGTTACAAGATGTCTCCTGGTAATTAAACAGTTTATATAGACATATGTGTGTATATGTGTCGTGGTCGTGTAAGAAAATGTTCAGTTTTGAGAGGTGTTCCATATGCAGGTGTGTTTGAGACATTCAAAGGAGAGGACGGGAGATTCAAAACAAGTCTCGTGAGGGATGTGAAAGGTATGTTAAGTTTGTACGAAGCCGCAAACTGGGGGACAGTGACGGAAGACATAATGGACGAAGCTCTGTCTTTCACATCGACCCACTTGGAATCATTACCAGAAGAAACTAGCCCACACATGTCGAAGCACATTAAGACCGTTCTCGATCTTCCTCAGCGTCAGAACATGGAAATATTAGCCGTCAGAGAGTACATATCCTTCTACGAACATGAAGATGATCACGACGAGACGCTGCTCAAGTTTTCCAAGCTCTGTTTCAGGTTCTTGCAAATGCATTGCGTTCAAGAGCTGAAGGCCTTGAGCAAGTACACACTCCATCCGTCAAATTAGTCCCTTTTTTCTTTTTGTACCTTTGCGTGCAAGGAAAGTAACACCCCGTAGAACCCTGGACCGATCCTTTGAATGTATAGTCTCCTGTCGTATGCTTGCAGATGGTGGAAGGACCTAGGTTTGGAATCCAAGTTGCCACCTTACTTTAGAAACAACATGGTCCAGTGCTATTTTAACGCGGTCCCACTTTTGATGGAGCCACATTTTTCACGTGCAAGAATTGCGTTGGCTAAGTTGTACAGATGCTTCACCATTATGGACGACACCTGTGATAGATATGCTTCTCTCCATGAAGTTACAACACTCGTCGATTGTGTGCAAAGGTACACTTTAAATTCTTCCTCTGCAATCATAATTTACATATATAGATAAGAATTCGTGTGTGTGCAGGTGGGATCTTGACGGCATTGCCAAGTTACCGGATTATATGAAAATCGTCTTCAAATTATTTTGGGATGTTTACCATGAGATTGAAAGGGAAGTGAGATTGGACGGAAGATCCTACAGTGCGCAGGCGATGTTGGATGAGGTATAATCAATCAAATTAACGCCAAATATATTTCGATAAATACACGCGTATATATATATATACACTTAAAAATCACATTTTAAAAAAGTTGTAAAACTCGTTAAACTGTAACGAGCAGTGCAAAAGAATGGCGAGAGCGAACCTTGCATGTACCAAATGGGTCGTTCCGACGTTCGAGGAGTACATGAAGGTTGGGAAGGTCGAGTTCGGGACAGAAGCAGCATTAGCGTGCGGTTTCGTCTGCATGGGACAGATTGCTGGGAAGGAAGCTTACGACTGGCTCAATTCCAGACCGAACATCATCCAATCCGTCACTTCAAAGGCCCGTCTCTTGAACGACATTACCGGCTTCCAGGTACAGATTTCACATATGCTAAACACGTCAAGTTCCGTCATGACGATGTTGTCTATGAGGTTTTTGTTCAGGACGACATGAGCAGAGGGTACGCCGCCACCGGGATCAACGTCTATATGAAGCAATACGGTGTCACAGAAGAGGAAGCCTTTAGAGAGTTCCGTAAAATGGTAAGGGCTACGGAAAAGATCACGACCGAGGAGTTCTTGAACGCAACCGTTGTGCCGAGGAAAATCCTAATGCAAGTCATCAACTTTGAACGCAGTTTCAGTACCACATACGCTCATGGTGAAGGGTTCACCAATTGCACGGCACGAATGAAAGAGAATATCTCCTCTTTGTTTGTGCATCTGATAAGTCTCTGAATGACTTGGAACACACTATATATATATATATATATAGTTCATGGTGAGGAACTTGGGAAAAAAAAGGATCAAAATCAGGGTGTTTTAGGAGGCAATGGAGCTTCTGAGTATGTGTATAAGTGATCTTGTTGATGAAATAAAACAGAGGTTTTATGATATGTGAAAAGCAGGGGAGGAGGTTTTGTTTTTATATCAATTTGTTTTATTTTGTTGTGATTGGTAAGTGACTTATTAAATCAATCATGTGGAATTAGATGATAATAGTCCTTGAAGATAATAAGAAAGATTGTGATCGAGACATTGGAGATTTGGTGGAAACATCCGTTGGTGATTAGAGTTGATTAAGGGATTGAGTGGATCTTATTGAAATAAAGAACTTACCATTTGTATCGTTAGCCGTTTGTGGCTGATTTAGTTTCCATATTTTTATTAGTCTCAAATTATTATACGAACACACATGTACGTAAGATTAATTCAAGAAAAGAGTGTCTTTTTCTACTTTGATTTTTGCATTCGAAACTCTATTTCGTATTTATCATGTTTTCGATCATTCATCACATATAAAATTTAAACATGGTCTATATCTTTTTTTTTATTCTTCAATCTCTTTTTTGCTAAGTTTTGGATGTTCATATATCCAAATCGTTCAAAGAGGAGTAAAAATCCAAAATCAAACGAGTTGTTATGACAAAAAGAAGTCAAATCTAAAAACTCTAAGACCAAACGAGGTGTTATGATAAAAAGAGTGAAAGGTAGAAATTAAAAATCAAGCGAAAGTGATTTGAAAATAGGTAATCCTCTTTAAAAGAACTAAATTTTGTATTTATGGATTATTCTAAAGACAATGAAAATATCTATTGATTTTTGTCGCATTATCTTTTCAAGATTAACTTTTGCATTCTTTCAAAGTCAATTTGAAGGGAAGGTTGAAATAGAAAAATGAATATGTGATTGAAAGAAAGTATAGATTTTGAGATATTATTTTCAATAATAATGAACACAATATTGTGTTAAATATTGTGTATCATATTTGTTTCCGTTATATCTATATTTTCTTTTTACATTTCGTTCCTTTTTATTTGTCTTTTTTTTATTATTTAATTTCCGCAATTTTATATTTTTATACTCAATAATTTCTTAGTAAGTGGTACGACTTCAGTGGGAGTGATTCGAGTTATCTAACTTCCAGGTTTGGCCGGAGAAAATGTGGTGGCATATCCATGGCTGATAAGATGGGTTTGTAAAACCTTGTCACGCTTTTGCATTCATTTGATTGGAAGGTTCTACAAGGAAAACGAGTGGAGATTGTAGAGAATCCGACCTTGTGTTGAGGTTGAAAAATTCATTCGTGACCATACCCGGTGCCGGATCCGAATCTTTATCTGTAAATGTGACATGCCTTAAGAGTATGTAATAAAATTATTTGCTTACACTGTGGGGTGAATTTATATATAGGTTATTGTGGATATATGTATGTTATAAAAGAGCTCACTTTGGACCTACGCAAGAAGTTGGTATATGCTTTCTATGTGAAGGAGAGAGAGTGGAGAGTCCTAATTTACAATGCCATATCATATATTGAATTTGTGAATCTGAGACAATTTAAAGATGGATGGCAAGAGATTTTATCCATTTTTTGTGTATACATATGAAGCGTATACCAAAGCCATCTAAATCGACCTTGCACTAATACTATACTTTAAGATCTCTCTCTCTCTCTTTTTTTTTTATGGCGTTTGATTTCAATGACAATGCTTGCCTATCGTCATTTGTAGTCTTGAAATCCAGACGGAGTATCTAAAATGTTCTGTGCTTAGCCGCGAAAACAATGGTATCTACGTGAAAAAATCCCCCCAAAAAATCTGTTGAAAAAAAGATGGGTTTAGATATAACGAGAAAGATAACGCACAATAGAACCGGAAACAAAGAGGAACATAGATATCTCTTCGCGACATGATTCCACTGAGTAAAAGAGAAATCCGAGAATAAATTTAAAGATACAAAGAAGACCATCAACGATTGGTTTACTCGTCAAAAGTTGGTCGAAACAGAGAAACCCAAGAGAAAAGATGAACGAAAGAGATGGAGAAGGAGTAACAAATTTTTTCACCAAAATGACTTGCAAATATCTCAAAATTGAATTTGATCTAATACCAATTTGTTTTGATGTCTTAAATATATAAAATACTAAAAGACATCATCAAAAGTTGCAAAATCCGACAGTTTTCACGCAAAAAATCGCATATGTTCATGTTTATGAAAACTAACACATTCCGAGTCAAAATAGACTGATTCAGGTCGTGTCAACTTTCTGTAAAAACACGATTTTTTTCACAGAATTTTGACGCGGTCCGAGTTACAACTGATTCGAGACTTTCTGTGCAAAACGAGTTTTCTTTGAGAAAAGTAACACGAACCGTGTTAAATCTAATACGAACCGAGTTATATTTCTATAAAGAAAATTTTGTTTTATTCCGGAAAACTGAGTTACATTTCAATGACAATGCCATCATCAGTTCAAGTCTTGAAACTCAAAAACAATATGTAAAGTATTCTGTTGTTTAGCGCGAAAACAATGGTATCTAATTGAAAAAATCTCCAAAAAAAGTCATCAATTTAAATAAAGGGAGATTAACATTAATGTCGGTGAGCTGAAACCGACAAGGATGGCGCTGCAATTGGCCGATAGATCGGTAAAGTATCCCGCTGGGATTTTAGAGGATGTGCCTCTTAAGATGGGGGAATTTTACGTCCCCGTCGACTTTGTGGTTCTGGACATGCTGGAGGATTCCCAAATCCCCATCATATTTGGTAGGCCGTTTCTGAACACGGCCGACGCTGTGGTGCATGTCAGAGAGGGTAGACTCACGATGAAGATTGGCGATGAGACGGTTGAGTTCAGACTTGATCAGAACCTTAAGCCACCGCATTTGGTAGAGTCTTCCTTCTACCTAGATTTGATCGACACATTGGTCGACGAAGTGAGGGATGAGTTCAGAGATTCAGATCCCCTTGAGATGACATTCAACGCGGTACAAGAGAGTGTGTACTGCGATTGGGAGGAAGTTCGGAGCATTGTTCAGACTTTAGATGACATCTCATCGATTGAGCTTGAGGGCTGGAAATACCGGGCCGTTGAGCCCTTATCTTGTTCTGTCCGCGAGTTCCCTTGGCTAAGGGACGAGGAAAACAAAGAGGAATCATCACCCTCTTCGAGCCATCAAGCTCCGGTCTCCTCCAGAAAGTGCGTCAAAGGTGGAATTGAAGCCCTTACCATAAGGGCTTAGGTATGAATTTCTCGGACCTAATTCTACTTACCCGATCATTGTGAATGTTGCTTTGACTGATGTGAAACTAGCTGAATTAGTTGCATTGCTTAGGGAGTATAGACAATCCTTGGGTTACACTCTCGACGACATTAGAGGAATTAGTCCGTCCCTTTGCATGCACCGCATTCATCTAGAGGATAACTCTAAGACCTCAACGTTGGTTAAACCCGACCATGAAGGATGTAGTGAAAAAGGAAGTGCTTAAACTGTTAGATGCAAGTATCATTTACCTGATTTCGGATAGTGCATGGGTTAGTCCCGTGCAAGTTGTGCCAAAGAAGGGGGTATCATGGTAGTAGAAAATTAACATACTGAATTGATATCCACTAGGACGGTTACGGGTTGGAGGATGTGCATTGATTAGAGGAAGCTGAATTCGAACACCTGTAAGGACCATTTTCCTTTACCCTTCATCGACCAAATGCTAGAGAGGTTAGCCTTGCATTCCCATTTCTGCTTTCTTGATGGCTACTCGGGATTCTTCCAAATCCCCATTCACCCTAGCGATCAGGAAAAGACCACCTTTACATGCCCATATGGCACCTTCGCATACCGTAGGATGCCTTTTGGTTTATGTAATGTATCGGCGACATTTCAGAGATGCATGATTGCAGTATTTTCTGATCTTATCGAGGATGTTATGGAGGTGTTTGATCACACGGGTTTTCGACCGGTTTTTCTAACAACATATAGTAGGTTCTCCTCACATTCAGGTCATATTAGGACGTTCAATAGTCGTGGGTAGGACATTTTCTCCCTTTTTCCCTGCAGGATGATCAAACGAGGGATTCTCGCGCACGAGGCACGAAAAAGGAGCAGAATCGAGAAGTCCGAGAGAACTCAGGCAAAACGGGCGGCCCGCCCGGTTAACCGAGCGGTCGCTCGTTTGTCGAACAGGGAAACAGGCGGTCGCTCGCGTAAACAGGCGGTCACTCAGAAACATATCGAGAACCAGGCGGTCGCTCGTCAAACCAGGCGGTCGCCCAGTTCCGTAATGAAGAACGAGCGGTCGCTCGAAAAAGCGGGCGGTCGCCCGTTACCAGAAAACGGGCGACCCTGAGGAGAAAACGGGCGACCCTGAAGAAAAAAATGAGCGACCGCCCGTTACCAAAATCGGCCCAAATTAGAAAAGCCCGAAATTGGAGAGAGAAAACCACTTTTTGCATTGGGAGAAAAGGGGGAGCTTGAGGAGAGAGAAGGGGGTTGACTTTGGGAGCAAGAACACATTTTTAGAGAGAGAAGGGGAGATTTGGGAGCTCTTGGGAGACATCTTGAAGGAGGAGATCATCATTGAAGATCATCTTGAGCATTTCTTCTCCTTCTCCATGTTTTCCCTCTTTGTTTTATGCTTTGAAACTTTAGCTATGGAGTAGTAACTTTGTTGTGGGTGAGGGATCCCCACTTTGTATGGATACATATGCTTAATCTATGATGTTTATGAGTTCTCTTTCATGGGTTTGATGTTTTGTACTTAATGCTATCAACTTTGGCGAAATCTTAGTTGATATGATGTTAGAACACATTGATCATAGGGATATGGGAATGATGTTTGGAACCAAACATCAAATGAGTGAGTTATTCACATTGGGAAATGGCTTAGCTTGCTTAGGGTTCATGATAGGGTGCATTAATGCATCTAGAGATCATTTAGACCATTGGGAAATGAATGAATTGATTCTCTAGATAGTGAGTTTAAGCTTGGGAGAGACGAACTCTAGTTGAAGTGCTTGAAATCCCCGTTTGGAAGATAAACCCGTAGACATCGTAGCATCATCAACCATCCATGCTATTCATGAGGGATCCCGAACCTACAACGCTTCCAACCATCGTTTAAAAACCGTTAATTTTTATCGCTTTCTTGTATTCCGACACTTACCACAACCCACATTTTTATTGGATCACCTAATCTAGCTTTAAGATAGACCAATACATCCTAGTCCTCGTGTTCGACCCCGTTACTACAACTACCGTATACTTGCGGATAGTGGTACGAATCGGGTAATAAATATAAGATTCGGTGCGTGCGCATCAAGTTTTTGGCGCCGTTGCCGGGGACTAGGCAATTTTAGTGTTAGTCTAGATTTTTGCTAGATCATCATTGCTTGGATTCTTGTTTGGATACACTTTGTGACATAACCGTTCCTCACCACCCTCGTCACGTTTCGTTTCTTTGGTGCGCAGCTCTTTCGGTGCATGACAAGAAGCACAACCGACAGAGATCAACTCATCTTCGACCCCGAATTAGAAAGAACTGTACGTTTCACTCGGAGACAACAAAGACAGTGGAGAATGGCCGAAGAGTTGCTGGGAGCAAACAACGCCCGAAGAGGTCAACCCGGGATGGCCGAGGAAATGTTGAGGGGGGCCAATGCCCAAAGGGGTCCAGCCCAAGCAGCCCCTAGAACGCTTCGAACGTACACACAACCGAAGCACACCCAACTACTCTCATGTATTAACAAGGAGCCGTTGGAGGATTTTGAACTCCAACCACAATGCATTCAAATGCTCAATAACATGAGTTTCCGTGGGAGATCCAACGAGGACCCGAATGCTCACCTTACGAACTTCAAAATGAACTGCAAGGCAATCAAGAAGGGAGCTCGTATGACCACGGAGGATGTGCTCCTTGAGGCTTTCCCATATTCACTTATGGAGAGAGCTAGAGATTGGCTCTACACTCTTGAGCCCAATTCCATCTCTACATGGGACGAGATGGAGGAGCAGTTCCTTATGCAATACTATTCCCCCACCAAGACTCAACATGCGAGAAACCGCATTAATGCTTTTGTGCAAGAGGATGGGGAGAATCTTCATGATGCGTGGGAACGCTTTAAGGAATATCAAAGGATGTGTCCTCACCATGGGATGGAACGAGACTATCTTTTATCTATTTTCATCCATGGGCTGAAGGACGACACCCGGTCTTGGATTGATGCAGCATGTGGAGGTGACATATATGACATCCCTTTCCAAGAACTAGAGGCGACAATTGCGAAACTGGCCAAGGGACGCAGCCATACGTCCAACGAGTTCAGTAGGAGAAGCTCAGTGAAAGGTGATGTAGGAGAGAGCATCGCCCTCAAGGCCGTGTTATCGGACCTTGCAGAGATTAAGGTGCAATTGGCCAACGCCAAACAAGTGGCTGTGGTAGAGGACCATAATCTAGCACAAGTTCAACCGGGTATGTACATGGTCGATCAAGAAGCGGAAGAAGCCAACTATATCGGCCCAAACCAATACACTCATCCGTCCAACCTATACAACCCGGGATTGAGAAATCATCCCAATTTCTCCTACAAGAACACGTCGAATACGCTAAATCCTCAACCCGCCTTCCAGCGGAACAACCAAGGGCCTCCGGGATTTCAACCGAAATATCAACAACAAGGTCAGGGGAACCAAGGCTACCAAGGGAATTCCAACTACAGGCCGCAGCAAGCGCAACCCAAGGAACAAGACCCGGAAATCAAGGATATGCTGATGCAAATCCTCCAAGGTCAAAAATCGCAAGGGGTGTCCACCGGGAGCATTGAGAACGAGCAAGTTGCGTTCAAGAAGCAATTGGAAGGAGTGCAAGCTCACCTAAAAATCTTGGACAATCAAGTGGCGCAACTTGCCTCATCCTCCTCAACACGACAGCAAGGTATGCTCCCCGGGAAAAATGAGATGAACCCTAGGGAACATATAAATGCAGTGGACATAAGGAGTGGGAAACAACTTCCGGAGACCGCCCCCCCCCATGGTTGAAAAGACACCACCTCCAAGACTAACGAGGGAGGAGAAAGGAAAAGCTGTAGAAGAGGGTACCCCTGAAGTACAAGAGCGAGAGAAAGAGCCAGTCTACATTCCTCCCCCGCCTAAGGTACCCCCGATACCTTTTCCTTCTCGTTTAAAGAAATTTAATGAGGACAGCCAGTTCGGGAGGTTTGCGGAAATGCTTAAGAAGATGGAGATCACAATGCCCTTCCATGAGGCAATTCTCCAAATGCCCTCATATGCGAAGTTCCTAAAGGGCATCTTGACCAAGAAGCGGGTAGTTGAGAAGGAAACTGTAGCGTTAAGCACCGAGACTAGTGCGGCCATCACCAAGCATGAGCTTCCCCCGAAGATGTCCGATCCGGGAAGTTTCTCTATACCATGCAAGTTGGGAAACATTGAGATTGATAGAGCGCTATGTGACCTTGGAGCTAGCGTGAGTTTGATGCCGCTATCCATCTACAAGAAGTTGAACATAGGCGACTTGAAACCCACGAGAATGGCCTTGCAACTAGCGGACCGGTCAATCAAATATCCAGCAGGCATTCTCGAGGATGTACCTCTCAAGATTGGCGGATTTTATGTTCCAGTGGACTTTGTGGTGCTAGACATGGACGAAGACTCCAAGGTCCCGATCATTCTGGGCCGACCTTTCCTGAGTACAGCAGATGCAGTGGTACACGTCCGAGCTGGAAGATTGACAATGAAGATTGGAGATGAAAAAGTTGAATTCACACTCGATCAGAATCTGAAGCAACCATCAACAAATGATACGGTATGCTATGCGGATATACTTGAAGCGATGGCAGAGGAAGTGATTGGGGAATTCCGTGAAGTAGATCCGCTGGAAGTGTCATTAATGGCCACGGAAGCAAGTCTGTATAGCAATTGGAAAGAGATTGACGAGATAAGTCGGGCACTGGATGATCGAGAAACCGAAAAAGAGGTTTCTGGACTATTTCGGGCGACCCGCCCAGAAAACCAGGCGGCCCGCCCGAAATCGTCCGATTTTGAAGAGAAGCAGGTGATAACGGGCGACCGCTCGGAAAACCAGGCGGCCCGCCCGAAAGCTCTGAGCAAATTCAGATTTTCTCCAGTCGAAACGGGCGACCGCTCGGAAAACCAGGCGGCCCGCCCGAAAGCTCTGAGCAAAATTGATTTTTCTCCGGAGAAAGTGGGCGACCCTCCCGTAAAAACGAGCGACCGCCCGTTTACACCAGAAATGAAAAATTCATGTCCCGAAGCCATTTTTTCAGCTACTCGATCCATCCTCGACGTACCTCAAGCCCCAAGAGAAGATAAAAATGCTGATTGGGACCCCAGACATGCCCCGCATGTGGAATTAAAACCTCTACCTCAAGGGCTAAGGTATGTCTTTCTCGGCGAAAATTCTACTTACCCCGTTATCATTAATGATGCATTAGAGGAGGGCCAAGTAGGAAAGCTCATCATGTTGCTTAGACAATACAGGGAAGTCCTAGGGTACACTCTAGGAGACATCAAGGGTCTTAGCCCCTCTCTTTGCATGCACCGCATACATTTAGAGGATGATACCAAATCGTCAATCGAACATCAACGTAGGCTAAACCCGAACATGAAAGAAGTAGTCAAGAAAGAAGTTTTGAAATTGTTAGATGCGGGTATTATTTACCCGATTTCGGATAGTTCTTGGGTTAGCCCGGTACAAGTCGTACCCAAGAAGGGAGGAATCACGGTCGTTCCAAATGAAAACAACGAACTCATACCAACTAGAACCGTTACGGGATGGAGAATGTGCATTGATTATCGAAAACTTAACACAAACACCCGTAAAGATCACTTCCCCCTTCCATTCATTGATCAAATGCTAGAGAGACTTGCATTACATTCTTACTTTTGTTTCCTCGATGGTTATTCCGGTTTCTTCCAAATCCCTATCCATCCGAGTGACCAAGAGAAAACGACATTCACATGCCCTTACGGCACTTTCGCATATAGCCCTTACGGCAGTTTCGCATATAGACGCATGCCATTTGGATTATACAATGCACTCGCAACTTTTCAAAGATGTATGATGGCTATTTTCTCCGATGTCATTGAGGATATTATGGAGGTATTCATGGACGACTTTTCTGTCCATGGACCCTCCTTTGATGCGTGTTTAACCAATCTCCATCGAGTGTTAGACAGGTGTCTCAAGGCGAATTTGGTTTTGAATTGGGAGAAATGCCACTTCATGGTGCGAGAGGGCATTGTACTTGGTCATCGCATCTCGGACAAGGGGATAGAAGTGGATAGAGCGAAAGTGGAAGTGATTGAGACGCTACCGCCACCAACCAACGTAAAAGGGATCCGAAGTTTCTTGGGTCACGCCGGATTTTACAGGAGATTCATCAAAGACTTTTCGAAGATAGCGAGACCCTTGACCACACTTTTGGGCAAGGACATCCCATTTGAGTTTAGTGAGGAGTGCCACAAGGCATTTAGAATATTGAAGAAGGCATTAGTATCACCTCCGATCATTCAACCCCCGGATTGGAGTTTCCCTTTTGAATTGATGTGTGATGCTAGTGATTTTGCGGTCGGGGCCGTATTGGGACAAAAAAAAGGATGGGAAGCATTATGCCATATACTCTGCAAGTCGGACGCTCGATGATGCCCAAATGAATTACTCCACCATGGAGAAAGAGCTCCTTGCTATAGTATTTGCCTTCGAGAAGTTTAGATCATACTTGGTGGGTTCTAAGGTTATCGTTTACACAGATCATGCTGCCTTGAGGTATTTGCTTACGAAGAAGGATGCTAAACCCAGGTTGATCCGATGGGTGTTACTTCTACAAGAGTTCGATCTGGAGATCCGGGATAGAAAAGGGACGGAAAACACCGTGGCGGATCACCTATCAAGGTTGGAGATAACAGAAACTGTCCCCATCGATGATTCTCTAAGAGAAGAACACATCTTGTCCTTGGAAATCAAGGATGTAACTCCTTGGTATGCAGATTTCGTCAACTATCTGGTTGCCAAGGTGGTACCCCCGGAGCTAACCTACAACGGGAAGAAAAATTTCTTCCACGATGTTAGAGACTACTTTTGGGATGAACCTTTCTTGTTTAAGAGAGGTAAGGATGGATTATTTCGAAGATGCATTCCGGAGGAGGAAGTGAAGCGAGTGATACATCACTGTCACGCATCGGATTACGCAGGACATTTTGCTTCGGCCAAAACCGCGACGAAGATCTTGCAAGCAGGTTTCTATTGACCAACATTGTTCAAGGATGTTCACTCCTTTGTGAGCTCATGCGACGCTTGCCAAAGGACGGGCAACATCTCTCGGAAGAACGAAGCTCCACAAAAGTACATATTGGAGGTGGAGCCCTTCGATATGTGGGGAATAGATTTCATGGGACCTTTTCCGTCATCTTGTGGAAATCTACACATCCTCGTGGCGGTTGATTACGTGACTAAATGGGTGGAGGTACTTGCTAGCCCGAAGAATGATTCCAGCACTGTATCTCGAATGTTCAAAAGGATCATATTCCCTCGGTTTGGAGTCCCCAGGGTGGTGATAAGCGATGGAGGGGCACATTTCGTCAATAGGGTGATTCGAAACCTCTTGACCAAGTATGGTGTTCACCATAGAGTAGCCACCCCCTACCACCCTCAAACGAGTGGCCAAGCGGAAGTTTCCAACCGGGAGATCAAACATATTTTGGAGAAGACAGTGGCTAAGTCGAGAAAGGACTGGGCATTGAAGCTTGAAGACGCAGTGTGGGCCTACAGGACAGCGTTCAAAACGCCTATTGGGATGACTCCATTCCAACTCGTCTATGGAAAAGCTTGTCACCTACCGGTTGAGTTGGAACATAAAGCATATTGGACAATCAAGGCATTAAACTATGACTGGAAAACCGCAGCGGATAAACGTGTCTTGGAGCTCCATCACCTAGAGGAAATTCGTTTGGACGCCTATGAGAACGCACGGATCTACAAGGAGCGAGCCAAGAAATGGCATGACCGACGCATTCTCCCCCGAAACTTCAACCAAGGTGACCTTGTTCTTTTGTTTAATTCCCGACTAAAACTTTTTCTAGGAAAGCTGAAGTCAAGATGGTCGGGGCCATTCGTCATTAAGAACATCACCTCACACGGAGCGGTGGAACTTGACAATGGCAAGGATGGATCCTTCATGGTCAACACTCAAAGGATCAAGCCGTACAATCCCGGGAATGTTAAGCCGGGGGGAGGTACCTCTGTACTTTCCCTTTCTTTGATCGATTGAACGTCACCTCGGTCTAGCTACGACCTTAACTAGCAACCCCGGTTAACCCCGGGGTGAAAAAAAAAAATTTCGACGTTCGCTCAGAGAAACCGAGCGGCCCGCTCGTAAAAACGAGCGGTCGCTCATTTACGTCGAAAAAAAAAAACCAGATTCCGAGCGACCGCCTGGCAGACCGAGCGCCCGCTCGGCCGAAAAAATCGGGTTGTTTAACTCGATTTCGGGAGAGGGAGAGCCATTCTCAAAAATTTGGCTCTCCATCTCCACTCTTCCTTTCGCCGGCGGAACCTCGACTCCGACCACCCGTGCCGCCGTCGTCCGAATCTCCCTCGACACCGGAGACTCTCTCTCTCTCTTTCCCCCACTCGCTCGATCTCCCTCTCCCTCGATTCGAAACGGTAATCCCTTGGCCGCATCTATGTTCTTAGGTTAGCTAGAGTAGAGCTGAGTCGAATTTGATGATGGGTATAGGTCTTAGGGTTGAATGTGGTCGATTTCGGCCGGAAAAACTCGATTTTCGGCCAAGAAATCGAAATCCCGAAACAGTGGGCGGTCGCCCGAGCGACCGCCTGTTTCACTCGAGCGACCGCTCGGAAAAACAGGCGGCCCGCTCATTTGCTCTGATGTGAAAATTTTTTTTTGAAGGCGTTCAATTTTTCCCGTCCTAACCCCGAAACCCCGATCCATGTCGACTATACCCTTGCAGATGGCACCGAAAAGAGCCAGAACGAGCGA